TCTCCCAAGTAACAAGCAATAGGACGAGAGAAAATGGCTTCAAGTTGCATCAGGGCAGTTTTGATTGGATATTAGGAAAAAATTCTTTACTGAAAGAGTGGCCAAGGATTGGAACAGGCTGCCTAGGGAAGTGGTGGAGTCCCCATCCCTGGAGGTTTCAAAAATGTGTAGACATGGCACTTCTAGACATACTTTAGTAGGCAGGGTGGTGTTGGGTTGACTGTTGGACTTGATGATCTTGGAGGTCATTTCCAACCTTAATGATTCTATGATTCTATTTAATACTATAAATTACTATGTTACTACACTGTCCCTTCATGGAAAAAATGTTTCATCCATTCTGCTGGCACTACAACCCTAAAGTTAAGTCAAATGAGCTTTATGTGGCTTGAATCTTTTTGTAAGAGTTTATTCAAATTCTTCTTTTACTCTTGAGGCAATAAATAGACAGGTTGCATTCCCAAGCCACCTCTCCATCTACCTGCTTTTACTTTTTGAACTGTCCTGAATAAACATTTTAATACTGCAATTACAATACTTTTGCTGTAATTCTCAGGACAGTTACACAACGTTTGTCCAGAGCTAATGTTGACCTTCTGTGATTTATCAAATTATGAGGAAGAAAACCTGCTCAATATTCATATACTTTAAGACAAGAAAACAGCCTTCTCTAGACTATTTGCAGACCAGCATATTCTCTCACTTATCCCATGCTGAGTCCAATAGCTTGCAACCAGTTGAAGGAAAACTTTTTAAAGTTTTACAGTTTTGATATTCTGAAAGAGAGAACCTCTTTTTCTTGCTGTTGTGTTCAAATGATGTTCCCATCTATTAATAATGGACCTTACTTCTAATATTAGTATCTTTGATGCAATAAAAAAAAAAAATCTTCAATAGCTAGCACTTTCTTCTTATGAAGGTATTTATATATAACTAACATTCTTTTTGGTACCTTTAAAAAGATTTGAATTTTTAAGTTTCTTTAAAGGCATTTTCTCAAGCCCTAAGTTAATATATTCAGCCTGTTCTGCAACCTATCCCATTTTTAAAGCCCTGCTCAAAACACAGACACCAGAATTAGATCCAGTATTTCAGTACTAGCCTTGTCAGTGCCACACTCAGAAGTAAAATCACCTCTTCCTACCATCTACCATTCCGGCTTATATTCATAAAGACTGAATTAGCTCTTTGTGCCACAGCACCACAGTAGAAGATCAGTCTGAATTATCTATTCACTGACTCCTAAACCTCTTCCAGAGTTGCTGCTTTCCATAACGCAGTCCACTCGGGCCTGTATTTCCAGTTTTTTAAACAAATAACTTTGGCTACTTTAAAAGGTACTTTGCTCATCTAATGGGCCCAGCTTACCAAGTAATATGAACAGCTCTCTGTCCCTGCCTTGCCATACTTTTACTATTTCAATATTTTCATGTCACTTGCACATCAATAATGATCTTACAATTTCTTTCATATCACTGAAAAAAGTACTCTGTATTACCCAGATATGTCCCAAATCTCACAGAACACTTAAAAATATCACCTTCCTGCCCAGTGATGATTCCCAGAGAACCACCAGTCCCAGACTGAGATTTTCAGCAGCCATTGAAGTCTTCCAAACATTTCCTTGGGACTCGGCTACAAACCATCAGAGCCTAATAGATATTAACATCTTGTTTGGTTATTAAGGAGTTTGGAAGTACATCCCTTGTCTCTTCTGATTTTAATACAAAGGACTTTCCTCTAAAAGAAATACAAATATATTTTTTTGAATGTTTCCATTTGCCAATGTTACTCATGATTTTACATCCCCATTATTTTACTCTTAGTTTGCTGCAACACCATCCTCCTACCCATATCCTTGTCAGCTTATCAGACAACTCTGATGTTCTTAGCATCTTTTAGCAATCTTCTCTGCTTTATAAACTTCTCATTTACTGCTTCCACAGCAATCCTTCATATTTTTTATTTATTGTGATTTTTTTTTCTTCTACCTTCAATTGCCATTGGTTCCCATTGGATATCACGTATTTGATTCAAACTTAACTGATTTTTCCATTGTAAAATGTTAATAAATTCTTCTTTAAAGATGTTTTTATTTACTTGAAAATCCCAAAGCAACAATTCTATAATTTGGGGTAGCTGACCGAGGCCAGATTTTTTAGTGCATACTAGACTATTAATTTCACAGAAGTATAGAAACCAAGTGCTAGAATAAGGAATGTTATTTTGAGATTGCATTTAAACCGATAAAAAGGAATAAAGGGTGATTGTTAAACATCCACGAGCATGTTTTTCACTCATCACATTAATCATTTTTTTATCCCCCTCTTTCAAACGATATTTTTGTGCTTTCAAATAAAGTACTCTAGGCTTTTGTCACAGGTCAAGCATTTGACATTTTTTACAGTGTGTTCTACAAGGCCCAGCTCAGCAGCAGAACTACATTCACATTAGTACCATTGTCACTGGTGGACAGGACCATGATTTATTAGGCAAAGGGAAGCAGCAGGACTAATTGACCATATGAGGACACATAAGGGTGTGAGAGGAATGCATAAACAACGGAGAACACATGCAAAAGTAGCTTGCTCCCCTGGCACGTCCCAAGGCACAAGATAAATGGCATTATTAACAGATCTGAGATACAAGAAATGCAGTACAAATTACACATGTGAATTCTTTCTTCCTCAAAATAGCACCCTTGCCAGAAATACTCCTATAGGAAATAAAGTAAATTTTGTGTAATTTGAGAAGATACAGTGTAGTAAAACAGAATGTGAAAAAGTGTCTTTATGTTAATTTCTTCACAGTAAATTGATTAAATCTGTGATTACAACTTTTTTTCATCACCACCACCACATTGGAGACAAAAATGCAGACTTCAACATGTTTGAAATACCAGAAACGCCTTTATCTTTTGCAATATGCCCATAAAGGTGTATGCTACTAGCAGAAATTATGACATTCTAAAATCATTCAGTATGTGTTCAATATGTACATTTCTGTAAGGACAATAAGATATTTTTAAAAGTCTTAGGGAGGGCCAATAGACATTTGCATGCATCAGGCAACCATGCTTCCAAAGAGCTGTAAAAAAAGTAAAAAAGTAAAGAAAGGGTAAAAAAATCCCACCCAAACCCCCCTAGCCTAAAACACATGGGGTCCACAGAAAACTACTCTCCTAAATGTCAGCCATAACTCAGTGATTGGTTAGATTCTGTCCACCACAATATAGAGGTAACATTGACTAAAATTGTCACAGACTCAGCACAGAGCCTGCAAAGTACATGTGTGACTGCTGGTAGTTCCACAAGTTTCACTGAAGCAAGAAATGAAAATGCCTAGTGCTTGCAAGTTGGTACCCACAGTAAAGTATACACTGAGATCAGAGTTCAAAACAATAATCTGAATCTATTTTCATTATGTGGAAAGGCAAATCCATTTGTTTTGTTGAACTGGTCTGCCATCAATAAGACCCAAACACCAGTTTGGAAGAATTTTGGCCTGGGAACCCTCTGCAGTTTAGATTAAGAAAAAAATAAGATTGCTTCTGTAATTTCTGTCCATCAGAAAGGAGCCTCATTACCCAAGTAGGCTTGTAATATGTTGTTATGCCAGTTGTATTTTATTACCATTGATTTATCCATAAAGCTAATGCAATTATGGCCATTTAAATATTATCCTCCAACTATTTACTTATCTTCTGGACAGAAAGCAAGGCATATCTGAATACAGATCAGTTGATTTTGGAGTTTAGTAGTGAGTTAAACAGAGAGATGTGGTTCTTTTTACTGCTCATGGTCCTTCCACGTATATAAATCAGAGCAGCCTCACAGTATATTCTATGGGAAGTGAGAGACACAGTAATCCCAGAGGCAGTCAGAACTTAATGAATTTGTACGCTTCATGTTTCCATTGGAGCTTTCCATATGTACTCAGGGATCAAATATTTTTATTCCCTACAAACACGGTTCTTTGCAGGAGGACGACAGTCCAAAACTGTTTGCAACAATGGTAAAACACTACCACAAACCTGGCAGGTAGGCAGATGTTCTGTGAAACTAGGCATGTAAAAATAAAAACGGTAATTTTTATTTTTATTTCGGACAAATCACAAAAGAGTAATATAACAGAAAGGTTTTATTAGCAAGACCATGACCGCTATTGGGACACCTAAGTATAACAGCTATGGGTGCAATCAAGCTCTTCAAAGGCTTGTGTCAGGAATGTGGTAAGGGAAGAAAAAAAAAAAAAACACCAAAAAAATGAACCTGTGTTCAGCATAAAGACCACAGAGATACATGAAGTGTTAGCTGAACACTTGATCCAAGTAATTTTAAAGCATTAAAAATTATCTTAAATAGCTTTATCCTTTGTTTTTGGATACAGTGAGGCTTTTCCCAGTTTTCCTAACATGGCTTTTTGCAGGCCTGAAGAGTTATGAAACTCTGGATATTAAACTGGCCAAAGAGCCATTCTGGAGCTCAGTAATGTTTGAAGAAAATGCATTGTTGAGAAAAGAGTGAAATATTTCTCCATAAAATCTTCTGAAATAGTGAAAAAGGAATAGCAGTTATTTGAAAGATACGCATAAGTTTCAGAAGCAAGAAATAACAGAAAGCACATCAAGCACATTGTTCTGTAATTTGCTATAAAGATCATCAAAACTCATGCAGTAGAAGTGCTGGCATACACGTATACACATTCTGTCTAAGGTCAACATCAGCTCTACATTTATAGACTAGGTTAACCACAGAAATAGTGGAGTTTATTTGTACCACTGTACTTAGCACCTGGACATGAAAGTAAAGCTGTGTTCAGAAAGAAGCACCGCATGTTCAAAAACCTTTCTTTACATAAAACCTTGTTTTTATTGGACATCAGTGAGCCAAAGGCAGATGGCTGATCTAATTTTAGTTAGGGACAGATACAACCCACCAGCGGCCAGGGTAATCAAGGGTAGCCAAGGTTATGAGCCCCAAGAAACAAATTTATTTTACCTCATATTCAGATTCCAGCGTCACAGTGTTCTGTTTTAATTTTTCTTTCAAAGCTGGATCAACCTGCAAGACAAACAAGAATACAGCAAAAAAGTTTGCTTTTAAGAATTTTTTTTAAGGAAATCTTAACCTCAAATAAACTAAATATTTGCACACGCAAACCTTCCTCTCCTCTAAATGAGTTTATGTGCTGTTTGTTCAGACACCAGGATGATTAACACAGTACAAGAATTGGGCTGAAAAGAGACAGGTAAACAGCCAAACTTCTCAAATCAAAAAGGAAGCACATTTGTAACTAGCCCTGCACTTACATTTCCTTACATACTTAAATCTGTAACTCTTCAGTTTGAAACTGTCCAACTAAACAAAGCCTTAAACAAATGAAACAAGGAAGACCAAGAAAGAGAAAATTGTGATCACATTACATATTTTACTCCTGAATGTTGTGTTCAGTGAATAGGTATACAATATATTCTGGTTTTCAAAGTCTAAGCATGAGTCAAACTTCCAATTTTCTCGTGAGCACACAGCTCTTTCCTAGTTTTGATTCTGTACCAACAATGCTGGTGATTCCTGCCACCTTTCAGAAAAGTTTGCTCAAAGAATCTTAGAGCAGAAATGTCAGTGAACCACAGCAGATGCATTCCACATTTTAACTTCTTCTGACCCAGGAGTTATGTTCGTTCCTCCCTTTGCTAAGTAACATCTGTCTCCCACAGGCCTAACGGTAGAAGCAAAGGGGAAAAAGATCATTGGCATTCTTCATGCTTAGAGAAAGCATTTTACATTCTCCTCAAACAGACATCAGCCACATATGTAGTATTCAGACACAGTCTTTAGGCTAATCAATTAAAATATCAAACAAATCTACCATGAGAAAACATTCTCATTTTTAGACCTTAAATACAACAAGTATTTTATTTAAGTTAAACAAATCAGATGTGTAAAGAGACCGGTAATGTGTTTAGTTCTATATCCATGGTAGAGTAGTCCGAATACGACTACTGAAGAAAAGTTGTTCTTAATTTGCTTCTTCTTGATCTGAATGAAAAGGGCTCAATTACCCTCAACAAAACAAACCTCGTATGTCTACAAGTGATCTAGAAAAGAAAGAGAAGGGAAGACAAGTTACAGAATTTGCCTGGTCAATGAGAAGATCCACCTTCAGACTCTGCACACAAGCTCCTGATCCTCAGAGATACTTAAAATACACACCTACTATCTGTATTGATGGGAATTGCTGAGGAATTTCCCTAGGCCATAATGTTCCCCTTGATTACAGACACTGCCTTCTAGTTAGTATGCAGTCTGTGAGACCTCAATTCCTAAGGATGCTCAGACAGGCGAGTCTAATGCCATCTGTGCATGGCCAGAGGTTTGATTTCCCTATCTGATCAGAGATCTGGCCATAGAAATACATGCATTTGCAACCTCCAGACTCATTACACTTGGGAACGGAGCCAAAACATCTAAAATAGTTAAAGTTTGTACAGGATACAGCTCCCACTTTCTTTGTAATAATAATAAAAAAACCCAAACCCAACCCTTGTAAAACAAGATACTGTCTTTGCACTAGCCCTCTACATCAAATAAAAAATGAAAGGCTACATCTCTGCTTTGGCATTCAAGGCCTCCATAGAACTGCCCCTCATTAAAGATGGATTGCCTCTCTCCTCCTGTGACCACGACCTCCAACAATAGCCATGCTCCATTAGAACAACGAACCCATCCATCACACATACAGAAATGCAAACAGAGAGGCTTTGGAGCTTGCTTTCACAGAGGTAAGAGTGATCGTGGACCTCACTGTATTCAGAACTAAATGCAAACACTATTTGTTATGCTTGGTGTTCTCGCAATATATGGATGGACAAGGGGGAATAAATGCTCCAGCAAATAAAGAAGCAAGAGAGTTTTATTTCCTCCTATGTTTTCCCTTCATTTAATAATAAGGCATCAAAGATAACACAGTCAGAGTAGCATTTTTACTTAATTAATCACAGCCAGAATTTAACTTACAAAGACAGCTCAATATCCCCATTACCAAGCTCTATTTTAGCAATTTTTAGTGTGTGTGTGTGTTTAATGTGTGGTGTTTGCATGGCCGCATTTGTGTAAGGTAAAGGGAAACAAGCAGTGAAGTTCTCCTCCCTTCCAGGCCCTTCTGTCCTCAGACTTCCTCGTGTATTTATTCTCCTCTGCCTGCACAGAAGACTAGCTAAAACTGAGACACAGCATCCCAGTACTCGTAACTGTTTGATGCTGCAGCTTTAATATTGACAAAAATGCAGAAATGAAAGAGGCTAGTTGAAATTTCTCAGGAAAAAGTTCTCCTGTAAATGAGAAATGAAGAGAAACTGCTGCTTCTTTAGAAGCAGGAATTTATTCAGCAAGTTAACTTACCAAAAAGAGTATTAAACCCTGTTTTGACGGCAAACTATACACACACTTTGGCAAGCTCTTAATATTTAACACACAAATACATGAAAGACTTAAGTCCATTCTGTGGACCATGTTACTTTGCTCAAAGTTCCACCAAAAAAAAAAAAGGGGGGGGCGGGGAGCAAGTATGTATTTCCTCTTACCCTTACCTTTTTTCTTCCCTACATACTTATTTATGCAGAATAATTTAAACATACTTGACTCTGCACAGAAACAGAGTCCTCTGCACGTTCTAAAGCCTCGGTTGCAAACCCCTACGTTTCAGTCGCCAAATGGAGATGGACAGGTTACAAATTGTTTTCAGAACCAAAATGGCACTTGAGAAAAAGTAAATTATAAAGTTCTGTTTCCATAGTGTTTGTACCATGCAACATCACAAGAATAAAAAAAGCAAGACAGAATGGTGCTGTTTTCATTCTGACAAACATCAGATAAACATCAATATGAGCCACGATCACAGATCACAGCCAGCAAACACCTAAAATGTGGGCAGAGGCAGGAAAGTGCCCATGCCAAAGTGGTAGCTCCTTTATATTACACATCTGCCACAAGATCCAAATACAAACACATACATTTTGCTTCCATGATGACTGCTATGCCAAAACACATACTGCCAAATGAGCTAGAAGTATTCAGCTATGTACTGGCAAATGAATCATCAGCTAAATTATGAATACAAATCTCCATTAGTAAATACAATGGGGGCAGCAGACAAAGCCCAAATGCCGTAACAGCCTGGCAGTGTCCTCTGCACCGTTATTTAGGAGGCAGGAAGGAACAGAAAACAATATCCCTTTACACTAGAGGACAACTCCTTGCCAGGCAAAATCTCAGATGCTCCTTCAAGATCCATTTAAATTCAAGCTTTGTCTCTAAATATGGAATTCAAAGATGTGTGGACTTATAATTACAGCAGAACTTCACATTAAATTCTTACTGAAAAACTATTGAAATACGTGATGCCAGTATTCAGTCAGCTTTCATGAGATGCTGTCTGCAAGGCTTCGAAACCAATACTGACAATATAATTTTTCAAAGCTTTACTTTTTTTTTTTCTGGGGTGTCACGTGGTTTTTGCTTCCTTTATGTGGCACTTGTGGCAAACATGAGTGAAACATTCTCAGTATTTTGCATTATACAGGCTTATTTCATATGACATCAATTGATTGGAAGTGCAAGGGCAGGTATATAGACCAATCTCAAAAAAGGTTTAAGAACAAAGTTTTCAAATTAGAATTTTGTCCTATTTCACACTCCACTGCTCCTTCAGATTTACCCTTCCTTAACTTCAAAAGGTTCCCAAAGATACAGACTTAAAAAAAAAATTCTTAGGTGGCTAAAAGTAATAGGGGTTAAGCACAAAAATATTCTTAGAAATCTTAATAGGCAGCTGTTTGAGGCTGTAAGTACCTAAAAACCTTTTAAAATGTGGCTGCCACTTCTCATTTTAAGGCTGACATTTCAGTTTTTCAATGCAAACCTGGACAGAATTTCTAGGTGGAAAAAAAGGCGCACCTCAGGGCGCAGACAAGGGGCACCACTTCAGAGCAAAGCAGGAACACCCGGTGCCTGCAGCCCCTACCAAACCAGGGACTCCTGCAGTGCGCTGTGATAAACTGTTGGCCTCTCTATACTTCTTTCAGTAAAGGAAAATTTTTGTTTGTGCACAAATATTTCTGGTACCCTTATAAACCTAAATGTGCTGCTACTAAAACCTCACAAGGTGTACTCAACAGCTCACTTAGCAGCACTCACATCTCAGCTAATACAGATTCACGAACATCCATTTAATGGAATCTAAAAGATTTTTCATATAACAGATGCCAAGCTATGCAGCACCATGAAAACTATGGTAGTAGAGAGCTTGGCTGAAAGCAGTTTTAGGCACATAAATGATCTTCAGTCCAAAAGCGATACACATCAGGGCAGCTGCAGAATGGAATTTTTAAGAATTAAAACTTTAGATCTAGGTAGATATTAAGTCCCTGAAACATTAAGTCAATTTTTCCTATCTTTATAAAAGGCGTAAGACTTCTCTGTCTCTGAGAGATATGCCACCAACTTTGTCCTTCTCTACTAAACATTAAGCGATGAAGACTCACAGTGAAATATAAACTCTCAAGGTCATTGTACCTGTATGTACCATGTTACTTTGCTCAAAGTTCCACCAAAAAAAAAGGGGGGGGGGGGGGGGAGTTTGGATTTCTTTTTACCCTAAAAACAGAATTTCTAGGTGGAAAAAAAGGCGCACCTCAGGGTGCAGACAAGGGGCACCACTTCAGAGCAAAGCAGGAACACCCGGTGCTTGCAGCCCCTACCAAACCAGGGACTCCTGCAGTGCGCTGTGATAAACTGTTGGCCTCTCTATACTTCTTTCAGTAAAGGAAAATTTTTGTTTGTGCACAAATATTTCTGGTACCCTTATAAACCTAAATGTGCTGCTACTAAAAAAATTCTCTAGCTAACAATTTTGTACTGATCCTCAGTGACCACAGTTCACTTTGGTTCAGAAGCAAGTAATACAGACAGAGAGCAACTGTGAAACTTGTGAATGTTACTTTACCTCCAGGATATGGAAAGGATAGGTCTCCCACAAAGGAAAGCAACGAACACCATCACTA